TCTCCCTACCTGAGAAGTTTCCAAAATCTAACAAGTATTTTGAGTATCCAAGTGAATACTCCATAAATAGTGAGAATGATAGACCCTCACTACAGCTAACATTTTTTCCTCCACATTATAGCCAACGTTTTTTTTTTTAATATTTATTTTTTAGGTGTAGATGGACACAACACAATGCCTTTATTTTTATGTGGTGCTAAGGATCAAACCCAGGTCCTGCCTGTGCTAGGCCAGCGCTCTACTACTGAGCAACAATCCCAGCCCTATAGCCAACATTTTAATAACTGGTTTTTGAATACTCATTGGATGTCAGGTTCATGCCCAAGAACACAGACTCTCAATTTGGACAGACAAGAGAGAGAAACCCAGCTTTATCCTTGCTAGTGATGTCAACAAGCAAACAGCAAATCCTCACTAACTCCTAAGTTCCCCATCTGTAAATGAGGGATGATAACAATGTCTGTCTTATAGAGGTATGAGAAAAATTAAACAGAATAATGCACTCACATAACTGTGTCTGGCCCGTAGAAAGGTTTCAATAATAACAGTCATTATTTTTATTGTCCAGGGAACTTGTGAGTGTGACCTCATGCAATACTTAGGAAAAAAAAATCTCTAAGAAGTGGGGAATATTATTCTAGTTTTGTAAATGATGGAGGTGATTCAGCCAAATACATAAAGCTAACAACAGAGACATTGTCCAATCTTGGAGTTGGCTTCTAAGCTATAAATCCTCTTAATATAACCAGGGATTTCATACCAAGGGGAGTCTTTGCAACTCACATGTGAAAGTTTTTAATGTAAGTTAGCAACAGAGAAGAGAAATGGGGGTCTACCACACAGCTTAAGGACAGAGGTTAGCCTTTGCTGAATGAAAGAATGGATTGACCATTTAACCTTTGTGTGATCAGGGTCACACAGCTATTCATTTTATTAACATTCCAGGTTTTTCATCTAAGGAAGAGTATCCACCTTAAGGTCTGTTGTGAGGATTAAATGTGATGATGCATGTAAAACAAAATTTGGAACACCACCTAGCACGTAGTAAATAAGCAAAATAAATGTCAGGTATTAGGACTGTTTCTCTACATCAGACAGCAATACAGCAGCAAAAATATGACTGCACCCTAAATCTTCTTACTCCTAGATTGGAGTCTTTTAGAAGTAATATTAATAGCCATATTTGTGGTACACTCACAGTTCCTGCATTCCTACACCTGAGAACTGATTTCGGCGTTCCAACAAAGAAGGACTGGACACTGGCCCCAAAACCTAAACAAAAGGTAGTAATAACAAGCAGGAAAGGGAATTTAAAAAGCTTCATCATGGAAGGCAGATTCCAGGGTTTCAGAAAAAAAAACAACATACCTACTTCCCAGTATATCTACACTGAATATATTTTCTTTCCTGTCTTGTTGTTATTGTTGTTATTTGTTTGTTTGTTTGTTTTGCTTTTTCTGTTTGGATTTAGAGTGGCTGGACCTGGTTGGTTGGAACCCTTGGAATCAGGCCTCATGCTAGGACTTCAGTAACAACTATGTGCCCTGATGGATACTAGTTACTATTTATTCTATAGTTTACTAGTTACTATATATTGTACTCATTCCAATAAGATTGTGAGATTGGTATGATTAAGCTTGTTTTGTAGATCTGGAAACTCAGAGATGTTAAGGAACTCACTCAAAATACAACCAACAGGAAGCAGATAATAAGAGAAGCTAGGTTCCGAGCCAGCTCAGCTAAATTCCAAACCTTTGCTTTCTTCTCTGCATCCTGCTTCCTGAACAGCTGAGGGGGAAATGCAACTGCTCCGAGTAGCTGGGCTGGGGAATCTGGGGGATGACAGTCTACCCTCTTCTGTTGGCCTAGATTCACTGAGCACCTTCTTGCATCACCCTTTGGGATGTTAATAGTCAGGTGATACAACCCTTCAGGACAGGGAGATACTCAATTCAGGACTTAATAAGCCTAAGGAGCATGCTGGTTCCACTTAGGCACGCATGGATTATAGCATGTTCTAGTGGCAGAGTGGGATCTGATTTCCCTGCATGGGCAGAGAGAATGTTTGTGCTGAGAAAAGGAGACAGAGCTCATAGACCTGGACAGCCAGACTCCTTTAAGATATGACGAGATATTTGGGTCTTCTCATGTACTAATTCCAATATTAACCAAAAATGAAAAATAATGGCTCATCCACTAACTACCTAACATGAGTTTGGCATCATAAAAGCTTGGCCCCAGAACCGCATTTTTGCTAGCCACATACTCATAGAGAGTCAATGATCTGTTGAGTCTCAGATATCTCTCCTATGAAACCAGAAGACATATTTCTTTTCTGTGAAAGGAGAAGACATAGTCTGCCATCTTGAATGCCATTTTCAATGGTTACTGAGGGAGGAAAAAACAAACACTCTGTTCTCTCTGAATTGTTTGTGGCCAGACCTACAAGGTCAGAGTCCAAGTCACAAAGAGACCTGGTGATTCCATAATCCCTGCTAACTGACTGAGGAATTGTAGAAAAGTCCTTAACTGTACTGGACCTTAGTTTGGCCTTCTGTAAAAGGAAAGAGTATAATAAATCAGAAAATACCAAACTTTTCACCTGAAATGCTCCCAATAATAGAAGCAAATGTTCTCACATGCTAACCTTCTCTGATTCAAGGACTTGGTATACACCCTAGGAGTTAATACAACTCTCAACTTACAGATGACAGAAACAATGGACAATACTTAGCTCAAGATGATCCAGAGAGGAGAGTGGCAGATTAGCATTTCCTGCTAAGGCTCCCAATCTCCAGAGTCTACAATTATAACCATCCATTTCTCTACCTCTACATGGTGGGCAGCATTCTCAGAGGCTGGTCCCACCTCTGAGCAGCTGGTCTTCATCCACATACCTGCTTCAACAGACCTTTGGATGCAGTGTGTCCTGGACATGCCTATCCCTAGTGGGGGCAGAAGAGAGCCAGAGCATGGATCTCTAAATGATGGAAAGGACTAAGGGATGATAGCCTGGAGCTGGGGAAGGTCTAGTATATACTTCCATAGTCCCTATTCTGCCAGTCAAATCCTGGATTACAGGGAATTTCGATGGCATCTAGGTCATAGTGCGTTATCCTTTTCAAGCTGAACTCACTGAACACTATTCTGGGAAGACAATCTGACTTAGTGAAACTAAAGCCCTAAAGGCAGAAAATGGACATTCATGACTCATTTATAATTGAGATAATATGATATAAGCTACTGGGTTATGAGAAGAATGTATGTAAGCAAATGCCATGCCAAAAACCAGAAAATGTCTGATAAATATCAATCAAAACTGCATCTCACTGTCAAAAGAAGAAGAGCAGCCACAATCCTCAACCTTCCTCAACATCAGTTAGTGTCCCGTGCTCCCCAAGGAACTCAGCAAATACCCTGAGATGGTGTTTACAAATTTGCACCCCAAAGTTAGCATACAGGCACCCACTTGTCTTGGCATGTGGCTGCATCATTTGCTAAATATATATGTGGAAAAGTCTATCACACTCATTCCATGAATAACACAAAGGCCTTGATTTGTTCCTCCACGTGATAAGCATGCGTTAGGTCCAAAATTAACGCTGCTATCTGGCTCGGGTATGTGTATGTTTTTCCAAAAAGAGAAAATTTCCAAGTTCTACTTCAGTCCTAATCAGAATGCTTAATGCAACTGTGTTGGTTAAAAAGAAACAAGTAAAAGAGACCGAAACTAAAAGTCGGAACCACGGTACAGTCTCCATAAATACTGACTCTTGAGTGCAAGGAAGAATTGAAGGGAAGGGAGACGGTACTTATGCCAATCACTTCATCCCTGTGAGCTGCAAATTCTCAGACACAGGTTGGGGATACTATTGTTCTACCCTCATGTCCCTGGTGGAGCCATGCTAAAGGAGAAATGGAGAAAATAATGCAAGAGTGGCTTTGAGGATTATAACATGAGGTGGGGACGGCAGGTATTGCCATCGTTAGATCTTATCCTGAGCTCATAAGACCTTGTGCTTTCTGCAAATTGTAATTATTTGCTTATTTTCTATGTACCACACAAGCCATTAATTACAGCTTTCTTTTAAAGAAACCAGTAATACATATCTTTCAGACTACCACTTAGTGATTCCACCCCAATAGCCTTTTGAATGAGCCAACAGAAGCAGAGCTTTCTGCACCCATAACTTCATCTATACTGTGGAGGGTGACAGGCCAGACATCATGCGTTTTTGGCAGAAGTATAATGAGATCATTGTGCCCTTATATGGGCTCCATAAATGTGCCCCCTTATAGTACTTGACATGTGGTAAACACTTAAGAAATTTTTGAGTGAAACCAGGGTGAGTGGGGACATCAGATTTTGTTGCCAGAGTCAAGTGGGTTTGAATGCTCAAGAGCAACTGACTCCCTCTCTCCCTCACTATGTCACCTTGGGTAAGTCTCCTTCCCCTCTGCTGCCACATGCATGACCGTATCATCAGGCTAATGGAGGGGTCTCTGAAGAGGGCTGCATTGGCTACAGACAACCCGTCTCCAGGAGCCACTGTGTAGCTGTGAAGTTTAAAGCCCCCGACACCTCAGGGCACTTGGGAACCACAGCCTGTTCTGATTTTATTCCAATTTTGTTTGTTCAGTCATTCTTGGAAAGGCCAACTGCATTTTGGAGCATTGAACCTCAGCCCTCAGCAAAGCAGGCCAAGCACGTGACAGATGTTAAACAGCTATTCCCAGAGATGTCAGCCAAAAGGCCAAGGAGTTGGAGACCCTTTATTTTCTTCTCTGAAGCACAATTAGTTTGTCACAGCTGACAGATGATGGATGGGGACGCATCATCCCAGGTGATGCCACAGAATCCATCTGCCCTGCCGTTTATCAGCCTAACCTCTTGCAATTGGCCACTTCTTTCCCTCCATCTGCTGACACTTTCCTGCCTCCCTGCGACTCTTCTCTTTTCTGTCCCTTCCCCACCCCGCATCACATCCCCGCTCACTCACCATGACGGAAATATGGAGGATGTGCATCTGCTCCTCGACAATCTCCGAGGGTTCCTGGAGCGTGGGGGCAGTGGCCCGGGCCAGCTGCCCAGAGCTGCTCATGGAGACGTGGAAGTACAAGGTGCCATTCTCCAGCCACTGCTGTCTCCAGTGCACCAGCGAGATGTCCGCGGCCGTACCAGACATCTCTACAAGACAAGACCCAAGGCACAGGGTGAGCTGCACGCACGTCTGACTTTGGTGCTCTTGGGGTAGGGGTTCAGGGGGAGGAGCCAAACATAGTCAGGAGCTCAGGACCCATTGACTTATGCCAAAATGCCTTTCCTTACATTGAATCTGTGAGCCAGGGATCATCACTTCTGTTTATAGATGGCAAAACAGTGGCCAAGATCTGTCCCAAGTAAGAGAGAGAAATTTGGACCAGTTTGTCTGTTGCAATATTTTTTTTTTGACACCATGAATGAAACGGTAATTCTTTTTACTTGAAAATACAATGAAACTATACAAAAGTGTGAAAGTGCCCCATTCTTCTGAGGCTATACAGCTGGGAGGAAATGCAGGAGATCTGTGAGAGGAATAGAGTTGACATGTAAATTCTTGACAAGCTGAGCTGGAGGTTTCATGGAAGAAGCTTAGAGCCGGAGAGACCCAAGAGAGCAGCCAACTCTCAGGGTGGTCCTGCATGGAAAGGAGCTTGGCCAGGGAGTTGTTCTGAGCCTGTTTCTTCTGCATTGATGAAAGTGGCTCCATTTTCTTAGCGTATACACTGCACTCCCAAGCAAGGGAGTGTTGGCACAAAAGGTTCCGTGTCTTAAAAATACTTGAAAAGCCATACTCCAAGGTCTGATAAATACAAGTTAGAACTTTCTAACAGGTTGTTAAATCAGGTCTCCTGACATGAAATCCTAACTCTTATCTCTATACTGTTCCCCCCCTCCGTAAATTTTTTTTAATTGTCATTTGAATAGTATTGATTAGTATTCTGTCATGCCAACATCAGTCTCTTATTAGGGAAGAAGGGGAATGGTCCAAGCACCAACAAACCCATTGCACTGGGATCATGTAACCTTGTTCCAGTGCCTTCTACTAAAGGCATGCATCCATCCATGGAAGTGTCCCCGAAGGGCAGGCCTATCTGTGCATCTTGGAATACAGTGGAAGGGTGGTAGGGCTCTTGGAGAAATGCCAGGTCTGTACCAAGCAAGAGTTACTCTGGGAGACAAGGTGCCTTAAGAGCTTCCATCAGTAGACAAGTAGACACACACACACACACACACACACACACACACACACACACACACACTCAACAAAGACTGCTGGGCAGAACAAGTTAGAACTTTTCCTTACCCAATCATCTCATCATGTATGGTGACATTGAAATGAAAAGAATCACCTTGAAGAGATGAGGAGACGATATCTACTCACCAAAGTCTATTGTAGTGTCTGTGTATGGTCCATTCCCAACAGACTAACTCCTTGAGGTTTGTAATAAAAGGCCCTTAGGGGAAGGATGTCTGGCACTTAATAAGTGCTAAGAAAAAGTTAGCTATGAATTTTTAAGTTAGCTATCGATTTATCATCATCATCATTATTATTAATAGGAATAGGATCTAATTCCCCCTTCCGTTACTCTGAAAAAAAAAAAATACTAGAGGCATTCTTGACTGCTTGCCGTCTCTCCCAAGAGGAAATCCTTCAAAATCCATCCACCCTTCTTAGCTCCTCTGCTTCAGCCACCTGGGCCAAGATGACACCCTTCCTTTCCTGAAAGGGCTTCCTATCTTGGCTCTTTCCTTCCCTGCTTGCCCTTTCTGTCTGTTCTCAACCAGAAGCCAGGGGCATCTTGCCACGGCATAAGTCGTCTCATACCACTAACCTCTCCACTCGAAATCCTCCACAGGCTTCCCATCTGACTCCAAGTGAAAGACAAAATGGCCAGAACACAGGAAGTTATTAGCCGAGAGCCCCGATACTTGGCATTCCCTTAGTGCCTGAAGGATTAAACAGGGCTGGAGGTAATCACAAAAATTCATCATCTCTTAGGCCCATGAGCCTCACAAGGGCCCTGAGTTCACTGTGGTACCCAGGTGGAGGAACCAGCTGGGTCTTTCCCCAGCACCTTCTCTCCCTCCCTGGCTGAGGTGAAAGGCTCCCCCACCACCCACCTGCCAGCCTCAGTGCCCAAGGCATGGGCAGTACCTTCTGTGGCGCCCACCAGCTAGGCTCCAGGAAGGTGAAGACACGGTAAATGGCCTTGCTCAGCACCTCCGTCATTTTTCTCAGAGTGCCACAAAGCCCAGAAGCAGAGGTCCAGGGAACCGGTGCTGACAGTTGTTACTAGAAATAGTGGTGTCAAACTCCGTAGTTCAGGAAGGAGGGTTCAGCTGCTGGCTGGACAGGCACTGAATGTGCTGAGAGTCCCTGGAATGACACCTACAGAAAGCCCCAAGGCAGGCCACAGCTGGCCGACAGAGCTTCCTATAGAAGGAAGCTATAGATATATATATATATATCTCCACCAGGAAGGCTGGTGGGAATCCAAGCTCCTTTCTCCTGTGCCTGAATCCCACTGCAAAAGCAGCTTTCCATTCCCATGATTCCACATTCAGAACAGAAAACAGAGGGTGGTGGTGTTCGTGACTGGTGCAAGGTGGATTCGTGCTCAGCTGGAGCCCGTGGGTTTCCAGTCACTGCAATCTCTCCTCCGCCAGTCGTACTCGTATTGTCTCCTTTTCCTTGACTAAATTAGCCCACGAACCAAAACGAGATTGAGCTCTTTGTTTGCTCCAGCGATGAGTGCACAGTCAGCAGACAGTAAACGTTAAATGATAATAACAGTGTGTGAAACACAGTAAATATTGAATCACAGAGAATGGCTCTGGACTCGCTCTATTACAAAGAAAAGAAACCACTATTGGGGTGGGAGGGAGCACAAGAACTCAAAGAGAAAACTGATTTAGTGGAAACCAGAGGCCTTGGCCATTCATTCATCGGTTCAGGCATTTAGTTAATCGTTCCATAAACTTTATCAAGAACTGACTCAACCCCAGGCCATTTAGTAGCTCAGAGAATGGAGTTGGATGAAACATAACCCTTGCCTTCAGGAAGCTCATGGTCCTTCAGCAATAGAAATTCTACCCAGCCTGCTGTCCACACACACACACATGTACCCTCTTCAAGTCTGGCCTATCTCCTCCTGCAGCCTCTATCACATTGCTGCACCCCTGCAGATCTTACAACTGTTCCTCAAACAGACCACTTCCCTATTGTGTCAGGGCACACAGACCTTTTGTCCAACCTTTCTGGAACGCTCCTCTCAGAACTCGCAAGCTGCTGCTTCTCAGCACTTGTCTCTCAGTCCCAATGACACATGCTCAGAAAGTCTGTGCCCGACCAACGTGCTCCTCTCCGAGCTCATCTGATCTCTGTTATACTCCATTTATAAAAAAAAAAAAAACTGTCTACAGCACTTATCATGATTAGAGATTTATTTTATGTATTCACTTGAACATTTGTTTACTGTCTCTCCAGAAGTTCAGGGAACTTGCTTGTCTTAATTCCTTCCATTTCTAGAGCTCATTGAAAAGTGCTTAGACACATAATAAGTGCTCAATAAATAATGACTGAATTGCCATAATATATGTGCTTATGTGTATATACACATACACATACTTTCACTTATCCATAATAAGGTGGTTATAAAAATAGAATACAAAGAGTAGAGTCTCATCAAAGAATCAAAGAATAAGTAAAGATTTGATGAGAATTCAAAGGTGGGATGGGACCCTCTTAGCTTGCAGATGAAGGACTACTCCCCAGACACAATGCATGGGCATTGCAAAGGACTGGTGTTCCTCAGAGGAGAAAAGGAGCTAGAGACTGGCTGGGTATCTCAGGAGCAGGAAGCTGCACACACACCTTAGGGTGCAGCAGAAAGTTGGGCTGGAATTGTAGTCCACACACTGAAGTAAGGGCTTTGAATGCTATATTAGAGTGTGTATTTTATTCAGCGTGCAGCAGGGAACCAGTGGAGTCCACTTGATCAGAAAGCCAGTCCTGTGTCCATTAAAAACAGGTCAAAGAAATAGTAGCATGACCAAAGCCAGCTCTTGAAATTCCCTGCTGATTGATTTTCCAATTGCATTTTTCCTTTTTTCTTCCCCTAGTCCTTCCATATAAACATTTCATTGAAGTCTTCAAGTCATATTACAATCAAACTTAAAGCAAAAGGGGGACTAAACGCATTTGGTCGGGAACCAAGACGATTCCCATAAAGGCAGATTATGCTGACATGATGAATATAAAATGAAACAGCAGATATTAAAGTGGGAGAATTGGTGCGCCATGCCTTCCGGCGGTAGGCTGACTCCAGCGCTGGCCTCCCCCTCCCCCCACCTGCAGAGCTCGGGTTTATATTGGAATCATAAAGAAACACAGGGATTGCCTTTTCACCTTTCTCTGTTCTCCACCCCCATGGGCTGCAGCTCTTGAAATATTCAACAGGCTCAAATCCCCTCAACCATCCTGCAAAAGCCAAGAGAGAGGATCAGCCCTCATCAGTAATTCTGGGTAGACTGCCATCCTGCCTCGGATGCCTTTCAGCCTCCTGGAAAAGAAACGAAAACTCCCGAAGGCATGTTGTGCTTTTAATTGGCTTATTCTTCCGAATCTATGGCACTCATTGTATTTTTATTTAATTCCTGAAGGTCATTATGAAAATAAGCAGCTCTTCTGATCACCAGCCATCTTGGTAACATCTCCCCAGTGGTTAACTAACAGGCCTTCTGATTCCACGGTACCAGCTGACCCTCCAGCCAATTATTTGCAGAAACTCAGAGAGAACTAACTTTCAATGAGTTCTTAAATGGTCTTTGCCTCGAGCGGGGGAGCAGACATCACAGAAGACAGCATAGAAGAACCCACTGCCTAGGTGGAGTTGGGAAAGGTAGTGACGGTGACTTCAACCATCGTTGCCACTAGCTGTTCCAGCACTCCTGGGTGATCATCATGCAGCAGGACCTGCTGAGAAGGTAGGGGACATAATCGCAGAAACATGTCCTCTTTCTACTCTCTACAATGGTTAATTAATGCAAACCTTTGTCATTTATCTCGTGGGCTATGGCAAATGATTCTGTGCTAGTTGGGGGACTCGTCTGAGAAGCAAAGAGACATTCAATAACGTCACTGA